TCAATCGTTACATCTCAGAGTCCAGCCTGGAATTTGTCTAACAATAAAATACAATTCAGCCAACAATAAGGCGATTGAGTAATGTGTTCCACTTCCAGTCGAACAGTAGTCTGTTACGGGCTATACCACCATTGCAATCGTACGCCAAAACACTGTTTGATGAGGATTTTGACTTTGTCGTTGAAATGATAAGTTACTGGATAACAGGATGAATTGATTGTATCTAGTTGGTCAGAAATTTGTTTGTGTCGATATCGGTTGAATGTGCAATATGAATGGGGTGAATTTGAGAGTGTTGATCGAGTGTTCGTGTTCAACTCGAAGATGGCAAACGAAGCGATCGGCGGTGTGCAAGAGAACAAATACGAATCGATCGTTGCGTGGCACGAAGCTAACTGTCAACCGAGCACGTCCACTGCACCACAACAAAATCAGTTCATTCTGAATGACTCTCAACCACAACAACAACCACAACCGATTAAAACCAAGCGAAAAAGCAACGTGAGTAGCGCTTATAATCATACTTGACTGCACTCTTCCTGTAAACCACCTCTATCATAATCATTTGACATTTGCAAACATTAATATTCTCTCGAGAAAAGCACATTCTTTCCAATCAAATAATGAAACTTACGTTTGCACAATCATCATCCGTACTGTTCTATTGCACATCCATATTTATGTCTCGTATAAGTTTGATCATAAACCTCTTAGTTTGAATCTGTAAAGTCGTCTAAATCATGGAAACTTTGCACAGTCACCTGTGCAACAATGTTGACCTGGATCGTTATAATGCTAGTTACTAGCATTGCTAGTTATTTGGCGATTCCCGCAAGGATGGGAGAAAACAAACGGTATGGGAAATTTCTGAAATAGAAAGAAATTTTAAGGTTTTACGTAACCATAACTTCCATTAGATGAATGCAGTAAAGTATTGAGAACAGTTTGTGAAGGTGAAAGAGTTTCAGCAAGAAATGCGTTTACGATCACCGTCATCGACGAACGGCATCGCACCACCACCACCAGTATCAGGCATGTCGGTTACATCTTCAAATTCACCGATCACCTCACGGCCAGAATCATCCACAAGCAGTCGGAATATTGACTCATCACGATTCATCAGTCCATCAAACTATGAACAGTTATCTGAGAAAAACAATCCGCCAACATCTTCGAGTGATCTTTTGATGCCAAACGATGATGTTGATATCAATTCGGATAATCCGTTGAGGTTGCTGGAGTATTTTTATTTTCGAATGCAATCATCCATTTATCTGACTTCATCGCATAAATTTTCTGCATGTCGACAAAATCATAGTTGTTTCTTTCACCCATTGAAGAAAAAACAATCGTTTTGAGTCGTTGGATCTTTTTTTTTTGGTTTGCTAAAATGCTCATCGGGAAGGTATTTTTTGAAAGACTTGTTCTACAGCTTGATTTCATGTAATGTTCCGAATGGATTAGTTTCCGTGGTGATTTTCTTTTTGTCTAACCAAAACATTTGTGTATTGAATTATCAACGCCACACTTTTGTGGTCGTGCTGAACTGCGCTGTTGCACTTCAGATTTAGAACTGATTTTAGTGGCATTTTGTTTCAGTTCACATTATCCAGTGCATTTACATAGGTTGTTGTCTGCGTATTAGAGTAATAATCATTGTTGATGCATTATTTTGTTGCGTTTTAGGCGAATGGAAAGGATGACTCAAGATTCGTTGTTTGAACCTCCATCGAAAGTGATTCGTACAACATCTAATGAGAACAGCCATCCTGCAAGGAGGTTTTCGCTTTCTTTTATTCTGTATTTTGTGTAGAATCAGTTTTCAAAATTATTTTGTGTTTCATAACTGTTGTGGATTACCTCTTATCATTCTCAACGACGAATTGTTGTGAGTAGGTATCGTCAGTTTGACGGTTGTTTTTCAGTCGAATCTATTGAACAGTTCCCTTTCGGTTGCTTTTTATGATTCCCGTTCAATCAGCCACAAACAACCTAGACTGTGATAAGCGCGAAGTTTCGCGTCTCTTCCTGTTAAAAATCCTTGATTTCCTCAGTTCGTCCGCTTACAAATCGCTCGGATACGATTTTGAGACAGCTTGATTGCACTTTTGGGTAGACCGTTAAAGCGATTTTATTTTTACTGCTGCTGCTATCGCAAGCAATTTCTACAAAGCGTTCAGTCATAGAGTATTTGACACAGTGGAATATTTGACGTATATTCGATAATATGGCTCCAGCGCTGAGCATCTTACAAATAGCATTCTAATTCCAAAAGCAGTTTAATTTCTTTCTTGTTTCTCACGTTGCCACTCTAATTCAAACCAATATTCTTTACGGCGATTTGAACACATTGACTAAATATGTTCTCAATAAGAGGAACTCTTAAGAAAACTTTGTGGCGCTCTACAATTGCTGGAAGTTTCATTCAAATTCATTCTGTTAGCTCCAATTGAATAGAAGTTTGTAGGAGCTCCATCTCACTTGAGAATGTACATTCTGTTTATACGTAATGTGTTCAGATTTTAGGGCAGTTCTCTAGATAAGAATCAAAGTGTAATATACATCATAATTCAAGTATACATTAAGAAGTTTCAGAGATCAAGAACGTAATGCGAAATTGGAAAAGATGCGTACATTAGAGCAACAGATTCTGATCGATAAAGCACGTTCGGAGTGGGATCGAATGGTGCATGAGCATGAGGCGATCAAGATGGCACAGAACGGCTGTGTTGCTGCCGTTGCGTATCAACAACAAATGATCCAACGTCAGCATCGTGCTGCTCCCCCTATTGCTGCCTATCCACAACCGCCTCTACCTTCACCTGTCTCATCGCAGTACCCGGTGGCGCAGCCACATATGATAGGACCACCAGCAGTAGCAGCAGCCGCACCACCTCCTCATATGCAACATCCGGCCTATCGAAGACCCTCATATCCTCCTCAGCAAATACCCCCTTCTCAGGGCTTATCGCCGATTGCACCCCAAAACGGTACTACGGCGGCTATGATGAACGGTGGTGGTATTCCAGTGTCAGCTCCACCTGGAATGCCAATGTCGCAGCCGTTGCGACCGTCCCTTAATCCACCACCGTACAGTTTACATCTTCCACCAGACGGTGGTTACATGTCGTGCGGAGGATATCCGTCGAATGTGGCAATCCCTTCTCAAGGATACCCTCCACCGCCCGCTAATATGTCGTCACCAACCGTTTCACCCGCCTATTCGCCTATGTATCCTCCGATGAATCCGAATCCTATGCCTCCACGAGGGTGAGTTCTCCTAACTGTATTCCATGCTTGTCCTACCTACTACATTCCGCATTTTTAGTAAATCAGATGGATATCTGTGGATAACTGATATCTCATGAGCAAAATTCAAAACTCAGCTTCACTTATGATTCAGATACCAATCTTGTTCCGATCTAAAAGACTGTTGATAATTTTGGGGCGTTGCCGAACAAAATCTTCCTAATATTTTGAAATTCGGGCACTATAATTACATCACGGTGGACAGAATTGTGCATTCTGATCAACTCAAATCGAAAATGAAGTCTAAATGTTGAAGGTATCCGGTATATCCTCAGCAAGGAATGCGGCCAGTCTATGCAGATAAGATGATGGCCCCTGAAATGTGGCCTCAGCAATTTCCTCAACCATTGGGTAATCTTGAAGCACGGATCCCAAGTCAAAAGATACAATATCATCCGGTGAGCTGCTGCATCTCGTTTAATATGGTTTGAGATATACGTCTGATTGGAATCATAATTCATTTCTATTCGTATGCTCATGTCATGTTTAAACCACACACAATTTCTGGTTATACCCAGTCATCTTGTGTTCCAAAATGCGCAAACTTGTTGCGCTTCGTAGGAAACGATGTGAAACTGTATCGCATTAATTAATTCACCAAAAGTCTCGGAATTCTTTTCAAACCATAAACTTTTGCTACAAGTAAATTGACAATTAAAACTTTTGCTACAAGTCAACTGACAGTTACATCATAAGTAGTTACCGATAATTCCGTTCATTGGAATTCATAGATTCGTGAAAAATATGACAGTTGAGTATTTGTATACTGTTTGATTTTTCAGAATGGAACGGTGTTGGACGATGGTATGGGTGAAAATATTGTAAATATGAATCAGATGTATGGTTGAAAATTGAGCTATGCCAATCTGTGTTCCGTTGTATTAGAAATTTTCCATAAAATAAACGAATCAATTCAATCGTTATTTATATCGCAGTGTACAACTAGATAAAGCAACAACAAAAACAACATCTCAGCAGAACATCTCCATTGTTTTTTTTAGGAAAGGGGGGAGGGGGGTGAAAACTATGTGGAAATTCTTTATTGTCTCTCCTTTATTGTGCTATAGCAAAGCTTCAGCTGCAATTTTATGTGATGAAATGTTTTCAATTTATGTGAGATCAAAATGTTTTTATACTGTACAAAACAATCTTAAAAAATCTTTGATGGACTCTTCATGAAGACCATATTTCAACAAGCAGTTGAAGAGGCAGTTGAAGCGTTTGCGTGTTGTATGGTTTGAACGAGGATCAACAGCTTGTCGTAGATGATTTCAATATCACACTGAAATGTGATATTTATTGCATTATTTATCATCATTCAAGCAACACATTCGTTGATATTTCATCGAATTTCATTGCTCAGCTATGGGAATATTGCCGAAACAAAAAAAAA